GTTTGTTTGTGCGCAAGAGCCGGCTGTTGAATGTTTGGACTGTTTATGGTTGTGAATCCGACGGGAGTTTTGCAAAAAAGATAAGTTGGAATTGTGACAGCGAAAAGTGCCTGATAAGCGCTTATAAGTCAACAATTGCGAGGAGGACCCATAGAGAGTCTGGGAGCGAATATAAAAGCGAAAATGAAATTGATACCATTCTCGAAAATGGGGACCACCGGGGCATGAAAGGAAGAGGATTTATATTACATGAACTGAGCGTATTAACAACAACCCGAAGGAGGATCTAACAAGCCGGAAGGAGAAGACACAGAGGAAGCTCCTCCACGTCAGCGATAGTAAAAGTACCCAGCACGCAAAGAAGCGGTTCTGAATGTGCACAGAAGAGATCCTTTTTATTAACAGAATCTCAAAGGAACATTACTAACATACTAACAGAGAATACATGTAACAGGACTAAGAAAAGAAGTTTGGCAACACACAGAAGAAGCCCAAGAAGATTAATTGGACATTACTAACAGTTTAATTTACCAGTTTATATATCACTCAGCTTTCTCTTTCTCCCACTGTCTACCCCTTCCTTTTTTTTCTTTTAAGCGAAATACCTCCCCTTTTTAGGGGAGCCAATAAAACCTTTATTAAAAAAAAAAAAACGTCTTCAAAACGGGTTAAAAAGGGTAATGTGAAATTCCTCAATGATCAGTCTCTGAGTAATTCTGACTTTCCTGAACTTTGGACTTCTGTTCATGTGTTGAAGGAACAGCCCTAATGTTCTGAGCAGCCAGGACTATTTTAGGAAAAAAGGTACAGGAAAGGGAAACATGCCCTGTGCTGGGAAACTCCTGAACAACTGTGGCCCTATTGGTTGGTGGTGCATGGATTTATTGTTTGCTTAGTGTAATGGCATGGCACAGTGCTCCTCACAACCTATTCCACATTGAAACAGAAATATTTAAAGCCTTGTCTTCATTTTGATGAGCAGCCTGATCCTGGCCACTTGCTTTAGCTTGCGCGACAGGGCAGCGCTGCTCCATTTGGCTTCATGAACCCCTCAGCATCCTACCACACAGAATTGCTGTAGTTCTTCGCACCAGTCTTAGAGCAAGGCCAGCCTATGTCAGAACCCACAGCCAGCAACGTAGTACTCACTTTCCAGAAAAGGTAATACTTTATTGAAGAGCTATAGATGCATTAACATAAGCACTGTTAAGAATGGCAGTTGCCCCTTGGGCATAATAGGATATAGGGTATTCGTATGCACCCTCCCACTGCGCTGGCCAATTAGACACCCTCCCGCGTGTGGGATAAAACTTGCAAACCGTTGCTAGCTGAAGCTGGGAACTCGCACTCTCCCACGGCTCCCTGGGAAAGGCAGACACCACAACTCCCACCTGCACATCTGTTCAGATAAGCGTTTCAGCGCAAAGCACAGAAAGGAATGCAAGAGCAATTACACTGACACTGCCTGACCATCCCAACCCCCAGGGCAGCATAGCTGACATACTGCCCTCTCAAAAATCACCTTCTCTCGCCCATTCCGGGAGGTCTTCCGGTCATTCCGGGAGGACTCCCGGTTTGTCCGGGAAGTCACGATGGAACTGTCGCAACAGTCGAGGGGCCCAAATATCCCATTTGGGTGGGCCAGAACGGGTTCCGAAGTGAACAAGGCTTTGAGACGTTCGAAAGCCTCCTGACATTCTTTATTCCATGCCAGCGCTGAGCCCGGCTTTGAAGCCTCTGGGGTCTTCCCCTTAGTTTTCAATAAATCCATCAGGGGTAAGCTGATCTGGGCAAAATTAGCTAAAACGTTTCTGTAAAAGTTCACAAATCCTACAAAGGATTGGAGCTGGCATCGGGTGCGGGGTACCCCCCACCCCAGTACATCTCACACCTTTCCCGGATCCATCTCCAGACCCCTATCCGAGATTCGATATCCCAAAAAGTCAATGTGTGTCTTATGAAACTCGCATTTAGACAGTTTTGCAAACATTTTGTGCTTGTGCAACGTGGTTAACACCTCTCTCACCAATTTCACGTGGGGGGGGAGGTCAGAGGAGTACAGCAAGATGTCATCTAGGTAAACAAGGGCCCCCTTGAACAAATGCTTGTGCAACACCTCATTGATCAAATTCATGAAGACCCCCGGGGCCCCCTGAGGTCAAAACGGCATCACCCAATATTCAAATTGCCCAAGAGGGGTATTGAACGCCGTCTTATGTTCGTCCCCCTCTCTGATGCACACACGAAAGTACGCATCCCGAAGATCCAGCTTAGAAAAAATTATCCCTTTGGCTGCTTCCGCTAATAAGTCTTTGATCAATGGCATGGGGTAGGCATTCGTTGACGACACTGCATTTAAGCCCCAGTAATCCGTGCAAAGTCTCAGCCCCCCATCTTTTTTCTTCCGGAACAATACCGGGGCTGCAAATGGGGACGAGGCCGGTCTGATGAAACCACGGGCCAGATTCTTGACTATGAACTTGCGCAGTTCATCCTTCTCCACTGGCCAGGCATTATTTCAATGCTACAGTCTGAATGTCTATGAGGGGGGAGCTCATCGGCTTCTTCCTCCTCAAACACCCTGTACCGTGTGCTGTTGGTAGCTCTGCTTTTACCATCTCCCATCCTCAAGCCCCCTGTGCCATGGGACACTGAACAAAGCTGGGAAAGGGCAGAGCTGAGTAGGGCTTGACCAGCAGAATAGTATGGAACAAAAATCCAGGAGGCAAAATTTGGCTCTGCAGGACCTGGAAGAGTTCCAAGGGAAGGAGAAGAAGCTTGCTTCGGCAATGGCCGGAGCCCTAGTGAGTACGTAAGGATGTACAGGGTTGTGTACATACTCTCAAGCTGTCAGTCCACTGCAGAAGCTCACTCAGGATCAGGCTGCTGTGGTGGTGACCGATTCCCCCCCCCCTTATTTGAAGAGACGCCGAATCTGGAGAGAAGGGATTAACACTGCCAGTCGCAAAACCATGTCCCGCCTTGTCAGGACTGGGTCATAAACAAATTGATTGGCTTGCCTTTGAGTCAGTCATAAAGCTGCTCCTGCCCCTTCCTGGCTGATCTTTCATGAACTGGGAATTAGAAATCTCAAGTGGTTGGTGAGGCAGCAGAGCTATATTTATTGTTTCCTTGCCTGAGGACTTCTGGTGCTCCACCTTGAAGGGCAAGACGCTGTAGAAAATATTTCCTCTTTCACAGTTCTGGCAACGGCTCTCATACTTATTGCATGTTGCAGAAGAACTTTAATAAAGGCCCAGGAGGAAAGTAAGGCCATCTTTTTGGCTGGAGAAGCCATCTTTGAATCCAGTCAAGTGTAAAGTGGAAAGCCTGGCCATTTTCAAACACAGAAAGACTAGGGATGCCAGCCTCTGGGTGGGACCTGGGGATCCCCCGGAATTACAGCTCATCTCCAGACTACAGAGATCAGTTCCCCTGGAGAAAATGGATGCTATGGACGGTGGACTCTATGGCATCGTAGGTCCCTGTCCTCCTCAGGCTCCATCCCTAAATCTCTAGGAGTTTCCCTTTGTGGATCTGGCTATCCTATGCCCCCCGACCCCCGCTGGTGGCCAGGGGGCACCTGGCAACCCTAAGAAAGACCCACAATATTTTTCACAGTCATAGATCCAGAGGAGTTAGCCGTATTAGTCTGTTGCTGCAAAATAGTAAAAAAGCTCAGTAGCACCTTAACAAACTTTATTGTAGCAAAAGCTTTGGAGAAACACAGCTCTCTTCGTCAGATGCATTTGATATTTTTCATGAAGCAGAAGTGTTAACAAGTTGCACAAAGATCTCAGAGAAGCTCTTCCTGTCATCTCCGCTTCTGTCCATGAGTCATTTTGTTTCCTGAGCAAAACTACTGTTAGTATTCTTGGTAAAATATATACCATGGTCAGTGGTAGAAATGACTGTGTTACAGCCCCTTGGGAAAAAAACTTTGAGTCTGAGTGACACAGGTTGGTGTAATTCATTGCTTTTTGTCAAAATATCACATTGCGTTTGATCAACAAAGTGGGCCAGATATATATGGAAAGATTTATTGGACATTTAAAAAGTGGTTTGGGGAAATTTTGAGGTTAGCCATTAGAGAATGTTTTACAGCCTCCAGAGCTGTTAAATCAAAGAAAGTGGTTGCTGAATGAAGTTGTGTAATTGCTCTCCCCAGAGATTTGTCAAGGCTTAAGAGCAGATGCATGTCATCTATCCAGGAAAGTTTGAGGAGGAGGAAATCAGTCATGCCCTAAAGCAGGAAGAGGAGATTAAATTATTTACTATCAGCGTATTCCTGTTAAAATAATTTTGGTAAATGCTTTCAGTCTCTTTCACTCTGTTGCACTAGAGCGCAGGAGGAGCGGGGTCCCATTCCATTTCTTTCCATTGTCCTTTGCAAACTGAAATAAAACAAGGCATATCTGAAAGACAGGGAGAATGAAGTATGGATTGATGTGACCTTTATTGTTTTAACAGCATCTTTCAGCACAATTACAGCGTTACAGGGCTGCAGAGAACAGAGTTGGAGTATAAAACAACATAAATAAACAGAAGAGGAACTGTGGAGGTCAGCAGAGAACTGTTGGAATCAGGCAGCAAAGGGTGGATGAAGGGTCCTGACTGGCCAAAGCCTTTATGATTCAGCCACCATGGCTGTGAATTCTGGAGGAGAGAGAAGAGTGAGGAGGAAGGTCAGTTGGGAGACAGACAGCAAGTGCCCCACTGGAGGCCATGAGAACAGGATCGTTCTCTCTGTTCATTTAACTTCATTTCTCATCCACTTTTCTCACTGACACTCAAGGCAGATTACAAAATTTTAAAATAATGTAATAAAGTAAGAGGTTGCCAGTGTTTTATGAGTTTCTCTGTGACTCTGGATGCTGTTAACAGGTCTCTGATTTCACTGATGTTAATTGCCCAATAAGGGAGTGAATGCCTTAAATACCTGTTTACAGAAAAAGGCACTTCTTGTGACGTGTGCAGTTTGGTATACAGAGGGTCAGAAAATCAGCAGAAATTACCCCTCTCTATACACCTACTAAAGGTGTCAGTTTGGTGTAGGAGCCAGAGTGTTGGTTTTGACTGGCAAGACTTGGATTCAAATCCATGATCAACCATAGTGCTCCCAAGGTGAACACTGGCCAGCCTCTGTCTCTTAGCCTAGCCTACATTATTTATTTAAAACATTTTTATGCCACCTTTGCACCCAACAACTTCAAAGTAGATAAAGTCTGGGGAAGATACATGATGTTAAATGTGCATCCCCCAATCCTAATTCTCTGGTATCCCCACCAATCAAACAGTGGATTCTATGTAGAGTTATTCTAGTATATTGCATTCCCTAATATCCTGGATGGGATAAGTGGTTGAAATTAGGATCATGGCATGTAATGCCAGGAGGTGTGCACCCTGTAGTCTGGATTCCCCCTTTCTCCCTTAAAAAAACAAACTCTCTTCCATACAAAGCAAGAAACAGTTGGAGAGGTAAAACTATGCTCCTGCATTGTATTCCTCAGCTCAGGCTAAGGGCTAGAGAAGCCCCTTCCTATCCAGCTTGCCCTAAACCCCAGTAGCCAGCACCAGAGTGCAGGAGCATCATGCTATTGCACTATGGCAGAGGAATTTCCTAACTGATTGGCCTTCCCTTCCCTGATTCCTTGTAGAGACCCCTCTTGCACCTGAGCCCTTAGTTCTCTGGATATTCCCCATTACTCTGATAATCTAGAGCATGGGCATCATGGTGCCTGCTGACATCTTTCCTGGCACCTGCCAAGCATCTTTAAAAAGTGGGTGAGGCCAGATGGGGGCTTCTGCCCAGAAGGGCATCTGATTGGCCACTGGAGATCTGATGGGCTGTGCAGACTAAAATAACATTGTTTTGATGGCAGCTGCCACCACAGTTGTCATCTCTCCCAAGCTTTCCCCCTGGTGTATTGGGGGGGGGGGGCTTCCTCTGTGTGTCTGTGGCTCAGCCATCTCTCCTAGCCATTTTGTGGTTGTGCTCACTATCCTGCGTCAGAACTTTGAAGTTCCCCCACAGTCTCTAGGATGACGTGCATTCACTTGTTTGATATTTGTTTTCAGAGGCTGCTCTGTTTCTTTCTGGTGCACATGTCTTACACGGAGTTAAACCACTGGTCTATCAGTACTGACTACTTTATTGTCATTATTATCTACTTGGACAGGCAGCAGCTTCCAGGGTCTCAGGCAGGCCCGGTGGCCACTTTCTACCCAGAAGCCTTATGGAGGTGTGACCCCTCCTGTGAAGGACCAATAGCTCCTCCCAAGTAATTTTTGCTTCTTTACTCCCCTTCCCCACCCCCAGCATGGAGCTTCCCAACAGCTGATTGTCGGACAGCTAGCTGATGCACCTTATTAGAGCCGCACACCAGCCAGCGGATCAGTGGCAGCTGGCCTTTTAAGAATCAAGACACCCACTGACATCTGGCCCTTTGACAGTCAGCTGTCTGTGGGTGTCTGACTCTTAAAGGGCTAGCTGCCATTGATTCGCTGGCTGGTGTGTGGCTCTAATAAGGTGCATCAGTCAATCCACTGGGCCTGGTGGATGCCAGGCTTGAACCTGTGGGGGGCTGAGAAGGAGGGGGCATGGTGTTGTTTCCTCCACCACCACCTTGACAGGAGTGACAACTCTGTGCTTGTTCATGGTGCTGGTTGTTTAAATCTGCTTTCCTGGAACCAAGCTTGAACTCCGCAACCTGGCACCTACCATCAACACCGATTTTGCCATCTCCATCTTTATCTCCAGCAGCCAAAAGTAACTTGGTTTCTTTATCAGACAAGTCCCTGCCTTCAGGAAGAAAGCCCTTCAATATAAACCTACAGAAGAGAAGAAAGAAGGGAAAGTAGGAGACTTATCCAGGAGAACTCATAATGAATTATACAGTTTTATTTATTTATTTATTGTATGTTTATATTTAGAGAGTGCTTTTTCATCAAAAACAAGAGAATGAAAGCATCACAAAACAGCCTGGAAAAGCATTGCATATTAAAATTAGGCATGCTCAAGCCCCTGCTGGTATGGCTGATACCAAGCTCAGCAGGATATCAGAATAATTTGATGAGATATTTAGATAATGGCTGAATGAATTTGGGTGCATTTGTTTACATGATTACACTGTTTTCTTGCACAATTACAATGCTTTTTCCTAGAAGCCTCCCCTTCCACTAATGTGATGCCACTGCCAGTGTTAAAAGGCACATAGTTAAAGGGGGGGGGATCAGTTTTGAGATTTTTGAATTGAGACTTACTACTAGAGTCTCTATGTGCCTTTATCATCTGCCCATGAACCCAGCTAATCTTGCAACCATTTCTTGAACAGTTGCCACTGACTGTGCAGGAGCAAAAAGGCAATAAAATTTAGTTGATATTAGTCATGGCAGTAGAACCTGGAACATCTCTCCTGCTGATCTCAAAAGTTTAAACAGGAGAAGTTGCACCCAGAAATATCTCAGAGCCAAGTCATATAGGCCTTGAATTTAACCTGGAAATAAACTGGCAACTGGAACTGCTTATACAGGATGCGTATCATTCACTTTAGGTAATTAGCAATCCCATGTAAAACGCTAGTATAGTGGCCAAGTTAAGAGGTTTTTATGATAGCTGCCAGACTCGTAGTAACCAAGAAAAGGCACAGCTGGCTGGCAGATCAACTGGAGTGAACTGAGCAGTTAAAATGGCCCAACCACAAGTTGGGCTGAATGGTCCCTGTGGTGCTACAAGCCAGCACTACAGGGTTCCGCTCTGTTCAGATTTGGCCAGAGGTACCAACGATGGGCACTGGCTCACCCATTGTCTCTTCCTTCACTTCCATTGGCACTGTCAGCCAGGTCTGAGCAGAGTGTCACCTGCAGTGCCAGCAGAGCTACTGAAGCTTGGTTCTGCTTGCTCCAGGATGCCAGCAGCCTGCCAGGGCAGTGGCCTACCAAGAACTTTCCCTGTAAGTCAAATGGCCAGTCTATCCCTGAGATCAACCACAGTGGATGGAATGTCTTCTGGGCCACAGCTGCCATCTGAGTATCGAAAAGCTGGGCTGCATGCAGGAACATTCCAGAGCTGCAAATGTTCTCTTTGAGGAGGAGTGTGACCCCCCTCCCCCCAGTAAAAGCCAGCATTCTCTCTACAGAACGACCCATTTCCTTCTCGTCTTGTAATGTATTCAGCCTGACATGCCCGGACTTGCCCGGGCTGGCCAGGCACAACTCTTCAATAGCTTCATGTCCAAAGACAATGGGTCCGTAGGATCCTAGCCGGCCCAATCAAAGGGCCAGCTTCTCAGCCGGGAGACCAATGGTCGCCCGGTTACTGTAAATAGCCTATCGGGAGTAGGAGGTGTGTTTAGGTGTACTTGGTGGCGGGTTTTCTGAACGTATATAAACCAGCCTGCGAGCTGGTCCCTTGTCTTTGTCCTGAACTAAATAAAGGTATGCTCAGCTGAAATCACTCTCCGTCTGCATACTTTTCACTGGCGACGAAGATGGGATCCACGACCCCATGAACAAAGACCCGGACGCCAAACCGAGCCCCGCACCGAGCACCGACGCCGAGACCTCCGGGGACTGCGCCGCTTCGCATCCCAGCTCTCCGGCAACCGCTCATCGCGCAGCCCCCGGAAAAAAAACAATGGCGACCGCGACCGCAACAGAAAGCCTGCCCGCTTTCGATCTCTCCCAGCCCTCGCTGTGGGACACCTGGCTGGACACGCTGGAGAGCCGCTTCACCATCCACAAGGTGGTGGATGATGCGATGAAGAAGGCTTACCTGCTGAGCCACTGCGGAATCCAGACCCATC